ATAGTCCAGAACCTCAGTAAGAGGAAAAATAAGCTGTGGTAGCAGAAATAATTCCATCTCTCTAATATATCAATCTGCTCAGGCAGCCAAAACAGGACTGCATGGAGCAGGTGCCTTAAACAGCAGACACTGGCTCCTCGGTGCTGGGGGCTGGGAGTCTAACACAAAGGTGCCTCTGGATTGTCACCTGGTGAGGTCTTTCTTCCTGGCTTACACACTATAGCTGTCTCACTGAATCCTTGCCCGGCTTCTTTTCCATATTTGCATAGAGAGTAAGAGAGAACATTTCCTTCTGATAAAGACACTAGTCTCAGATTAGGGCCCTACTGTATCACCCTCATTTAAACTTGAGTACCTCCTGAGAGGGTCTGCCTCCAAACATAGTAACATAGGAGGCTGGGTTTCATCATAAGAGCCTGCGTGTGACCCAGCTCAGTACAGAATCACCCAACTCTTATAGATTACTTGTCTATGCCTATTGCTATACAACATCACACAGAAGCAACTTCAGTGTCAGTGATTACAACAGCAAATATTTATTTTTCATTCCCATGGGACTGTGGGTATTTCAGTGAAGATGATCTCAGCTGTTTCTGGCTGGGCATAGATCCAGGGTGTAGTTCAGGTTGAGCTCCATATATTTCATTTTGGAGCCCAGACCAATAAGGCAAAGGATACCGAGGGCACACTTTTTTTTTTTTTATCACAATGGTAGAAGCACAAGGGCACAAAATCCAACCACATAAACACATTTCAAGCCTCTGCTTGCTGGCATTTTGTTACTAATATCCATTAGCCAAGACAAGTCACAAGGTCAAGACTAGAGTCAAGGGGCAAAGAAATCAACTCTACCCATCCATGGAGCCATGGCAAGGATGGTACTATAGTATAGTGCAAAACTGGAAGCAATAATTCAGTCAGTCACAGCATATATGTGCCCTGGAGCTCTGATTGGGATGAGTTTTAACTGGCATTAAGGGTATTCCTTTTCTGCCATGGCCCTGGGTGGGATGTGAATAGTCAAGACTGACGCAGTGGTCATACCCAAAGTCATTGTTTCTCCATTGTTGTGATTTGGCCATCTTATGTGCCCTTGAATCTCTTCTTATGTTTTTTTTTTTTAATTTTTTATCGGTACCAGAGATCGAACTCATGACTGCCTGCTTGCAAGGCAGGAGCTTATGCCGCTGAGCTAAATCCCCAGCCCCTCTTCTAATGTTTTTGATCCTATGTTTTTCAGTGCTCAAATTAATTATACTCTTTCATTCTATGAGCTCTGAGTCAACTGAAAAATATCCCAGGGGTCCTGATATGAATTAAAAACAGCATTGGCTTTATTATTGGTGAATTGCCCTGGGCCCAAGACTAAAATGATTTCCCATTGTTTTCCTTCTTTATTTGAATTTCCCTACCTAATCAACAATGTCACACCTAGACACCTACACCTGCCTGTATTCTTTGTTTACTGCTCAAGAAGAAGAAAAGCTAGTCAGAATTACTTAAGCTGGTAAGTTTGGGTCAGAGGTGTGTCCAAGCTGAAGGAATAGTTGGTTTGAAAGCCTGGAGATAGCAACAGATCTCCAGTTGAGGGATTCCCTATCCAGGTGATTACTGAATACTAAGGGCTTTGGTCAATTTAGACTGCAGAAAATCAGGCCCTGAGGGAACCTTAGAGTCAACCACAAACATAAAAGGAAAGAAGATCTATCTCTATTCACTTACTCACTTGCTCTGTATTAAATGCCACCTGTGAGATGCATACTGTCCTCTGTGATGGGGATACGATGGTGACCAAAATGGCCATATCCCTGCCCATGTAAACCCTACATTTATGCTGGGGCACGAACAATAAAATACATAAGCAAGAATTATGATATGATAGAAAGAAGTAAGGAGAAAAAAGAAAGAAAGAAGAGAAGGGGGTTAAGGTGTGTTGGTTGGTGGAGGTGTGGGGAAATTTCAGAAAGGGTGGCCAGGGTAGGTGATGTCTGAGCAAAGATCAGGTAAGAGTATTCTGCCCAGTGATGCCACTAGCAAGTTTGCAGACTTGCAGTGATCAAGTGTCAGAAGAGAAGGGTTAAAGAATAGCAAGAAAGTCAGAGTATAGGAGTGTGGGAGAAGAGAACAGGCAGAGAGAGGATGGACGTAATAGGAGGAAAAGGTGACCTTAACCGGACCATGGAAACCACTGTGATGCCTCAGTCATATGGGGAGTCATTGGAGCGTTTTGAACATAAGAAAGACGTGGTGTGATCTACCTTTCCAGTGGACTACTGTGTTGAGTACAGAAAGGAGAAAGGAAAGGAACATAATTCTAGGTGATCCAGAGAAAATAGCAGAGTCAGTTACAGAAGGGACTGACTTTTTAAATTAGCAAACTAACTCCCTCTAGTTAGTTGGTTGGGTACCAGAGAAACTGGCTGTTAAGTCACATCAGAGGTACACTCGGTAACTTGCCCCTGGTGGTCCAGTAGATGCCAGGGACATTGACACTGGGAAATTCATGCATCAGATCTTGTGACATCTCTGATTCATTCCCATATGTGGAGAGTTTATCATTCTACAACGAAAATCACCTCAAACTCTTTCAACTGAAATGTGAACCCCTGACGACAGGGAGTTTAGCCTGTGCATTGCTCAATTGCCGGTGCCTAGAATACTGCTAACATATAGCAGACACTCAGTAAGTACTTGTCAAATGTCCAAATGCCTCTGTTCAACTTGTTGCAGGACCTTGATCAAAATATTTCTCTGTATCTCATAGAATACAAGGTAGGATTGGATGGTGTAGATGACCTTGCCAAGTGGGCCAGTCTGTGATCCCGTTTCAGAATCTGAGCCATCATTTCTAAAGAGCTTTTCAGGCCAAGAGGTGCATGGACAGGGAGGCTCATGGGGAGAAGGAAAGGGATGGATAAATGGAAACCTGAGCCACGGAGAAGTACGTGGGTAATCTCTGAGGCTGGGACCAGGGCCCCTTCTTGAAATCAATGCATTTTTTTTCCCACAAGCATGGGAACCAAATACCAAAGAGGGATGTTTCACTAGAAACTGAGGGTACAAAATAATGAAAATTCATCCCAAGCATGTTGCCTTTGCTTCAAGCAAATCAGCCTGGTCAACAAAGTACTCACGGTCCCCTAAAGTACTCCTAGGAAAAATGGCGTAAATGGTAGCACAGATTGCATTTAAGGGTATTGAAAATACATTTTTAATTTTGATGAAGTTCACAAATGACAACATTGACATTTCTTTAAATAGATTGTTCCATCAAGCCGTAGCATTACCATGTGTCCCCAGACACTCAAGTGATTTCATGTCCCCCTGAGGTTTGGCAGAGTTGCCAACATCACAGAATAGCTGAGGGGGACCAGATTTGTTACCAGATAGGCCTATGAGACATGCTGTCATGTTTATTGGAGACAGAATTAAATATAAAATGATGCACAATAGGTAACCATGACAAGCTTATTCTGCACTTAGCTTTCTTTTCAAATGAAAAAGATAGTTTCAATATCAAGAAATATGCAAAGATGTATGTCTTCCACAGAGCCTGTCTTACAAATTGTCTTCATTATACACTCAAAGAAGTAGAGTTTAGCTTCAATGTGACCTAGGAAAGGAAAAAAGAAAATAACAGCTAGAGTTTAGTTATTGCCAAGCTCTTGACAGCTATTGCTTCAGTTACCCTTTATATGAATACTAGGAGGGAGGTACTATAAAAGCCTTTGGCACAAAAGGAGAAGCTGAGGTTCAGAGAGAGTTAAGTGACTGGTCCAGTTTGTAGAGACAGTGCAGGTCAAACACAGTTCTTAAACCTAAGATCCTCCTCTTAATTCAGATGTGCATGACGTTGTAGTATCTGCTCTAAAAGGATAATGTCCTTCCCTTTCAAATCCCAAAGGATCTGTATTTTCTGTCCTGATGAATGTCTTTGCATTCAAAAGAAAAGAATGCAAAAACAGAGAAGATGAACCCAAATTCTAGGGTTTTAGTGACAGGGTCTCAGAATTTTTCTTCAGTCGCTGATGTGGGTAGTGTTCCCTGTGGACTTTTTCAACCATATGAGCTCATAGACGCTCAAAGCATAGACTACAACCCCACACTCTGTGGTCCTCCCTCCTCTTGCATCACAGCATAGGTACTCACCTGCTTCCTGGGGCCAGTTAAGCTATTCAGGCCTGAAGATCCCTCCGGCGCCGGCCAAAGGCTTTGGAACCCACATCAGTGGCTATGAAGTTGTCCTTTGCTACACCCCCTGACCTGCTCAGCAAGCCTGCCAGCCGTTGGGTCACACAGGTGGCAGTGTTGCAGGCTCTCTTCTGGGCAGTGATGCTGGTTTGCAGAATTAAAAAAAAAAAAAAGGAGAAGAGAGAGAGAGAGAGAGAGAAAGCCTGTCTGTGAGAGGTTGGGGGAGGAGCCTGCCCTGTGGGACCATCATGGTAAAATTGCTGCTCTGAAAGATACCAATTAACCTTAAGTGTCTCCTAAACATATTTATCAGAGCATAAAAATGAAAAGATCATTAAGGAAAATACCATGATCATGCTCCATAGATATCCCCATTTATATAGGGGGTCAGAAAACCCTCAGATGACTCTGGGTAGGACTGGCCATGGAACACAGGATTGCAGTAGCCAAACTTTCCTGCATAATAAATAGGCTAAAAATTAGCAAAGAGTTACCAGAGTGAATAATGCCAGCATACCTAGGCTCATTCACAAGGACTGTGGAATCCACTGCCCAGTCATATGCATAAAATACTCTTTCTCAAGAAAATGAAAGGCCTTACCTTACCTGGAAGAAGAGCAGAGTTTGCAGCATCTGGTCCAGAGGTGCTTACCTGCTCCTTGGCAGCCCTTTTCTTGCAGGTTGGGCTGGATCACAGGGACCACTGGCCTGTGTCCAGCTACCACAGGGCTAAGGCTACTTCTAAGCACAGGTCCTAAACACCAGGAAGCCGGAGATGTAGGCTACAGCAACAACCACCACAGCTCAGGTCTTGTTGAAAAAATAATTTTATTCCGCAAATGAGCAGCACAGTCAGAAGCAGGACTGAGAAACTCTACTAAGGAATCCTCAGGGACCTCAGAAGGGTTGCCCTGGCTCTCTCATATTCTCCCAGATTATTCTTTTCTAGCCTCTGATTCTTCCTTTCTCTCTGCCCATATGAGGTTCCAGATACTCTGCCAGAGGAAAACCACCACCAACAGCCCAAAGAGCAACCAGAGAGGAACCACATGCATCCAGTTATCGAAAGAAAGCAAAAAAAGAAATCAGAATGAAACAGTTTAGTTGGCAGCCTGGGACATGCCAATGAGAGGGCGCTGGTTTGTCTCCAAGTCATTAGTCATATCTCTTTTCTTTCCAGGTGCTCCAACCCCAATTGCAGTTTGGGGGAATGTGTGAAACTTGTTGAGGTCCTGTGTGTAGGTGCCCAGCATGCAGGTACTCAGATTACCACATCGCTTAGATCTGGGGTTGTCCAGGCTGCAGGGAGAAGACATGCCAGATAATACCATGCACAGGGTCTGCCCCTGTGGGGAATCAGCAGGTTAGACAAGGCAGGAAGCCTTTTAGGTGGGGAGGAGGCACAAGTAGAGGGCAGCTCACAGAGTCTCCATTAGGAGGGCTCAGAGGTAGGGTGGGCTAGTGTGGTGGTAGGAAGAGTGACCTCTGGCATCCCACATGCGGTTCGGTTCTTCATGCTTAATGGGGATTCTCAGGGTGGATACAGGATGCCTCATGCCTCTACCTGCTACTGCAGGACCAGCTGGAGCTGGTCTCCTTCCCAGCCTCAGGGTACATAGGGAGCCTGGGAGGGCAAGGTGCTCTTTCCGGCCTCGTGACAGCATGCACATCTCCACGATGCTCCAGACCTACCTTACTCACTGCTATACCTGTCCCCATCCCCTGCAAGCCTTCGACTTCACTTTACAAATGTAAAATTCAAGGCTCTTTATGAGAGAATGTGACATGCAGGCAAAGTAGATGGACCCAAATTTTTATAATCTCCTGAGATATACAAGGTCTATCCCCAGGCTTCAGACATTATCCTTACCGGTCTTTACTCATCCACTGGGGGGAGGTCTTCCTGCTCTCACAGGGCCAATTCCCACCGTAAGCGACTCCACACCTTCCCTAACTACTTTCAGAATGGAGATGTGATCTAACCAGTCTCGCCAGCTGACCCTCATCTTCAGTACAGTCTGAGAACAGCTGGGCCCCATGTCTTGATGTACAGCACAGCGTGCCAGACTCCTGGCCTGTGAGTTCTCGCCTACCTTCTGGGATCCATCTTCCTGTGGATTTTGGAGCCTCAACAGGAAGGAAAGCCCTGGACTGGCCAGGTGGGAGCCTTACCTGGAGGCTTCTGTTTCCTGCTCCTGCTCCAGCTCACTGGCCTTCATCTGCATGTAGTCCTGCACCAGTGCGGCCAGCAGGAGGCGCGCTTCCTCCTCACTGAGTGTGGCCAGGTCTAGGCTGTTGTCTAAATCCGGCCTGGTAGGGAAAACAAACTTGGGATGGACTCTAAGCCCTTGGTGCTCCCTCCCCGGGATAAGCAGTCAGGGATCTTGGTCCTTGGTTCTTCCCGGAGGGAAGTCCCAAGGTTCAAGGCTTGTGCCCAGTGTTCTTGTTGGAAGCCTGGCACTGATGTGGGTCTCCCGGCAGAGGTGTTAGATTGAAGTCAGTGCACACAGGCTGATGAAACCCACTGGTTAAATTTTCAGGAATTTTTGTGATGTAAGTGTTCGGTGTAACCACTGTTAGAAATTAAATGACAAAACCTACAATGAGTTGAATCTAAATAAAGTTTTAATTTAATAAATATAATTTGTAAGTGAGAAAAATTAACATTACATATAAGATTTGGTAAACTAGTTATTTTTGGGATGTAATCCATTTCTCAATCATAGCTGATTGGACAGCTAGGTAAGTTGTTTATACAAAAGTTGGATGAAAAGCAACAGAAGCATTTTGCTAGAGTCAGTAGGGTCTGTGGGAACTTATAACACAAAGTACTGTATATCAGAATATTAAAAAGTGTGCACTATATATTTAATGCCAGAAAAAGTTTACAATAAACGTATATGGGTGCACGCACACACACAGAGCAAGGAGTGGCCCTCCTGGTTTCAAACTATGTTACCTGAAGGGCACTGCATGCAGGCTGCCTGAGAGGTACAGAACTAAGATGCTGAGAGCCAGGAAGGGGGAGAACTTCCGGAAGCCCATGACGTCTCCCTGCAAGGGAAGAATGACATCATCTCAGGCACCCACTCAAAATTCTAAGAGGTCACAGGGTTGGCCTCCCGTCTCCTTCTGCCTGTCTCTAACTTCTTGATTTCATGGCTTCCGATATTTCCCTTCATCTACTTTTCCTCATCAGCAAAGCGGACCATCGCTAGACTCAGCAAGCATGCAGCATGCACAGTTTGCAAGAGAGAGGAGCTATATGAGACGGACAGACAGATCGAATTCTATCTTCCCCGGCCACCAAATGCTCCATAAACCTGTTGGTCAAGTCTGGAGGATACTCACATTGTCCCTATCACAATAACTGCTTCCATAAGACAACCCAGAACTTCTTATGTGGGCTTTCGAATGCACCCAGGGGTGGGGAAGCAGAGGGCGGGTAGAGCGCGGATAATTTCTGCATTTATAATCTGAGAAACTGAAAGACCATGTTTTGTGCTCAGCGGCTCCACCTTCTGGCAACTCCGTTGCTTGCAAGAACCAAGCTTTGGCTAAAGTTGGGTTCTTGGGAGATTTCTCTACTCTGAGTGCAAAGTGGGGCTTGCAAATTAGGGAACCAACGGTTCAGTCGCTGCGCTCGCTTGAGCCGTATTAGCGCCTGCCAAGGCTCTGAGACAGGCGTGAGAACGAGAGGCATCGGACGCGATTCCCGAAAGCACGATCTGCAGAAACCTGCTCTCGCGTCCTCCTGCGAGCGCGGAGCTGGGGGCTCAGGATGCCGAGATCGGCAGCCGAGGAGCAGGGAGCGCACAGCAAGGAGTTCCCGGCCTGATATACCCGATCCTACCCGTGTGGGGAGCCTGGGATGGACCAGGACTAACAGAGACTCTGACGAAGAGATGGAGACCGAAGTGGACAGAGTGACCGAGAGTAGGAAGGAAATGAACTGAGATAGATTAAGGGCGCGCGAGGGAGGGCTGGGGAGGGAGAGAAGAGGACACACCTGAGCAGACCGGGGCTCACCTGGCCGGCGAGGTCTTGGAGTAGAGGCGCGGTGAGCTAGAGTCCTTCGGAGCGTCGCTTGAGCTGGGCAGCCTCTGGGTGCCTCTCTGAGCCTGCAGCTGCTCTTATTCCAGCCACCGCCATGGGCCGGGAGGGGTCCCCAGCGCCGGCAGCCAATGGGCAGAGGGGGCCCGGACCCCAGCCACATTGCGTCACGCCCAAGCTTCCAGAACCTGTGGCGTGCATCACCACGGCCCCACTTAGGTTTGCACTGAGGTCACTGAGGAAAGGGGGAGGATGGGGCGATCAGCGAGAAAAGCCTTCAAATTAGGCCGGAATTTGAGAACAGTTTAGTGTCACGGTCGATTTCACCTCTTCATTCCGGTTGGGCTTTGAACGTTCGCCTACGCCAACGCCAGCTGTGCGCTCTGAAGGGGCGGATCCAGGGCTGTCCAGATTCCCGGCTCCCGTGAGGCTGACCCAGACCCTTGCCCAAGTGAGGCTTGGAGGGTTAGGATAGCAGTGTGGATTCTCAGGCCACACAAGTGTTGAACTCCAGCAGGAAAGGCTACTGGAAACAGGAAGATTCCTAGGTGTGAGTTCAATTCCAGCTGAGCCTTTCGTGTGTGCTGGAGGGCGAGCAACTTCATGGGTCCTCAGTGTCTTTATGAAAGAACTGCCAGATTCTCCAAGGAATGTCACGAGAGGTGTCCTTGTGCCAGGGGCCAGCTAGGCAGAGATCTAGAAAAGTTTCCTGGGATGAGCTTGATTATGCCACCCTAAGATCTCTGTTGATACCGAGTCCCTGAGTCCCAGGGTGCTGTTGATCTAGTGTGTGTGTGTGGGGGGGGGGGGGCTCTGATAACCAGGTGGGCCTGAGGCGTGAGGTGTGAGGGAAAGAAGTTTCCACAGCCTCCATCTAGACCTCTAGTTCTCTTTTCTCCACCATCAGTCACCTCTTATTAATTAGCCTGCCTGGGCCATTTGCACAGCTGTCTCTCTGCTTCCTGCTGCTGTTTGCCCAGATGTCCCAGTGGCATTTGATTCTGGCCAGCACTCCGCCCCTGCACTTAGGTCCTGAACTAAAAGCAGGCAGCCTTGACAGTGCCTGGGGCCTCTGCTGGAACTAGTCACCCTCACCCTCGTCCACAAACGGATTCCTTACTGTCTCGGAACAGGAGCCTGCGCCTGCCTGGAAGCGCAGACGCTCGGACGCAGGCACGCAGAGAGAGGTTTCCTTAGAGGCGCACTCGCAGACCTGTCCCCATCCTGCCTGCGAGTCCCTGCAGTCGCGTCCACACTCCGCCAGGGTGGTGATCTTTGTATATCACACCCTTCGAGACTAGGCGCGTGCATTGCGCCCATTTACGATCTCCCTCTTGTTCCCTTTCAGCCCACAGCTTTGGAGACCACTTGGCCTGAGCTTTTAGATTCAGGCAGGCACTGATGGATCGCGGTCCGGATCCGGCATTTGCTTGCTGTTTGCTGCAGCTAAGACTGGGACTGCGAAGCTTCTCTGCTCACGCGGGATCCCTAGTTGAGAGTGCACAGCGCGGTCCGCAGCAGCCTCTACAGGCGCCTCCAGCGCTGTGGGAGCTCAGCAGCAGCAGCTGGGGACCAAGGGACGATTTGCGAGGACTCGGAATTCGTGTTTCTCCAAGGCAAAGCAAAAAGTATCACCCAGCGGTGCCTGAGTGGCCAGAGCCATGGAACTCGAGGTTTCCCCTGGGTGCGCACCTCTGTCCCCTGTGTCTAGGAAGCTTCGGTATTTCTTAGGGCACACCTGCCTCGCGTCGGCATGGTGGGATGGTGGCTTCCGTGCTCAAGGAGGCTGCATTAAACTTCTAAGATGCAATTGGATAAGTTTCCTCTTTAACTTCTGGGAAGTACTGCAACGAGGGAATTAAAATTTAAGAGTGCATCTGGTATCTGAGATTCCCTTTCTGCAGAGCCCGCCCACGGGAAGCGGTTAGACCCGGACGGGAAGAGCTCGCCAGGAAGATGCCGGCGTGCGTCTGGCTCAGACCTTAGAAATACTTGAGGCGAGTTCAGGAAGGTGGATTTCCAGGGCCCAATCTCGGGCTTTTGGGCTTTCAGCCGGTTACTTCCGAACTCTGGCCTGAATTTTCCGGTTGAGCTTCTCAATAAGTTGGCGAGGGCCGAGGTGCCGCCACTACGGGGCGCACAGCACTAGGCGCTGGGCAATGTGGAAACATATTTTGCATTCAGGTGCCAAATCCTACAGAAATGACTTCCTCTTTCTGTCTGGAGATTTCTCACATAATTTCCTGAAAGCGCTCGTAAGTATGCGTATCCTAACAGTGTATTTCCCTAAGAACTCACAGATTTCACTCGTGCAATGGTGACCGCAAAATGGTTAGGAAACGACCACTCTGAGGGCAGATTTCGTGGCCCTGTTACTTTCCGGGTTCGGATCTCTGTTCCTGGCTGCAGTGTGTGTCTTCAGCCCTTACAGCAGACACCAGTTCTTCCTATGAGATTTCAGGCAACTACAAACCACAGGCTGCTGCTGTTAGGGAGTCCACACCCAGAGGGCGCGCAGGAAGCTCCCAGCAATTCCAAACTTTAAAAATCAGTCCCTCCAGAAAGGCAGAGGCCAGATTATGCCTGAGGTAGTAGGAAGTCCCTGCAGCCGTGCTGGGGCCAAAGGTAAACCAAACCAGCCTAGACCAAACCACGTTATTTTCTTGGGTAATCAGTAGCTTGCTGGGTACGTTAGTAGGCGCTCCACCCATCGGTCTCTCAAGGTAGCTTGCAGAAAACATGAGTTGAGTTAAAGCAGTTTTCTGCGCAGACTGTTCAGCCAGGTTTTCCCATTTTACTTGCACACAGAACTGAGGCAGGGAGGTGAGTCGTTTTCTCTGGGGTTTGTTGTAAACATCTTCTGGTGTGAAATACAAAACCGTTCTCCTGGGAGCCCTTTCAAGCCAATGAATCAGAGAGAGTGACCATCTTCCTACGTTAGAGGACTTCCGGCTTAGATTGCTTAAGCTTTGTCCTCCAATCCCTGCAACTTCTCTGTTTTAGGTGCCAACAACAAAATCTGTGCGAGTCAATAAGGCAAATGCTGATTTTAAGATAATCCTTTGACTATTTAGCCCTTGGTTTTACTTTCTTATTTCATAACTTTAAGATCTGGAGATCAGAATCTGTTTTGAAATAATCTAATTTGGAAAGAAACATTTTTACAGTACTCTGATAGATTTCAATTGTAATATTTACACCCATTTATTTAAGTTAGATTCCTGTGCTCTTTGATTTATAACATAGTGATAGACTCTAATGAAAATAAAGATGAAATCTGCCTGAAAATCCTTATGTGAATTTCAAGGTGATTAAAAGTTTATACCTAAAAGCTGTTATTAATTCAGTAAGCCAGTTGTGAAATAAACAAATGGTCATCTGAAAGAACAAAGCACACTCATATTTCAGAGCTCAAATCAAATTTTATTTCTTAGGTAATAATTTATGTATAATATAGTCTCAGCAACAACAAAATCACAACAATGCCAACTACAAAATATCACAACAATGGGTAGCAGCAGCAATAGCAACGTCAACTGCCCAACTCCATTCTCTTCAGCCTGGCAGAAAATTGGAGCTGTCAAATTAACTGGAGAATGTCTCCTGCAAATTGATTGTGTGGTTCAAAGAAGAGGAGAAACCAAGGCACTAAGTTTACTGAAGAGCATGAGAAAGAAAATGATTGCTTCTGAATGCTTTTCCTAAGTCATGCTTAGAGTCTGATCAAGTCCCTAGTGGAAGAGGGAGGACAGAAACAGTGTCATAGTGCCAGCAAGATTCACAATAGGTAAGATTAAAAAAAGTCTAAGAGTCCATAGATGGATGTGAAGTGTATATGTATGCCTGTGTATATGTGAAGTGTATATGTGAAGTGTATATGTATATGTGTGGAATACCATTCAGCCTTAAAACAAGGTGGACAGTCTGCCACATTTACTGTTGAGAGCATGTAATACTCTCAACAATAAAGAGCACTACTGTGTTCTCTACTGGAAAATATTATGCTACATGAAATTAGTCAGGCACAGACAGACACCAACAGTGCATGACCCCTCCATAGGTGGAATCTGCAAAGAAGTGGAACTCTAAAAGAATCATAGTCTTTAGGAGATAAAGGGTAGGAGGAAGGGGGAGATATTGGTCAAATGATAAACCTTATAACTATAAAATAAGTAAGTTCTTTGACAATATAATACGTTTTAGAGCACTAACAAACAGCACGGTGACTATAGATGATGATGATGAGGGATGATGATGATATATTATGTGATTCAAATTGAAGCTTGCTAAAAGAGTAAATCTCCAGAGTCACACTCCCATAACTATGTTGGAGACGGGCCACCTTAAAAATATAAACTTTGAAGAATAGAAAAAGTGAGTGAGAGAGCTAGAAACAAACCCTGGTAGGAACTTTGCAGAAGCCTTTATAACAGGTGAATCTCTATAAATATTGGAGAGGACATCAGCATTTTATTAAAAACTAGATATAAAATTATCTGAAATGTTGCACATGCATGAAAAGTTATATAAAAGCATATTGAAATAAAACAAAGCAATAATATTATACATATTAAAACCACTGTCAATTGAGTTCCACTTGTCTTCCAGGCACTGTGTGTATGTCATCTTTCATATTATCAGTGGTTTAGTAAGATAGGCACTATTGTCTATTGCACAAAGAAAGGAGATTACTAAAAGAATTTGGCTTGAGTTAATTATATTTTCTAGTCTCCTTCTGAAGACCTGAAATGCCAGAACATAGCTTATCTGCCTGCTATATCAGGTAAGAGGTCTGGTCCCCTGGATCTGGGCACTGACTCAGAGGAAGATATGTCGATGTCTGCCTGCTTTGGGGCTAATGTGATTTGTTGTGAGAGGCTCAATGACCAGGCATAAATCATTTACAATTCCTGGACCAACATTTGGGAGATTGACAGTTTCATAGCAGGAAAATAAATGTTGGTACTGCCACTTAAGATAAGTAAATTGCTAAAGAATAAAACCCAAATCAGATTCATAATAATATTCATAAAATAAACATTTAGAACACTTCAAAGTAACAAAAAAACCCAAATGGCTTCACTTCTTATATTTAGCATGATGTGATGGTGAGATCCTTGGCTGACTT